GAGGGATTGGGCAGGGAAGAAGGGAGATGCATAGGATCATTTTCTTTAAAATTTGGGGCCTGACTGGGTGAAACAATGGAAAGAACAAGTAACTAATGATTTGGTTCTATGTCCAGAATATTTTACCTTATTTAAAAAAAAAAAAAAAAAAGTCATTGGCACCATAAATGAGGACTGTGAGAGACTGTTTAAAAGCTGTGAAAGCCTGAAACCTATAAGCCAAGGTGTTCCCTGCCTGAGTTAATGTTGTCCCCACAAAGGACTATGCCAGTTCCTAAGTTACCAAAGCTGCCATTCTGGAGATAGAAACTGACTGAGGTGGGAAGGTCTTTTATTAGAGAGTATACACAGGCAGATTATTCTGTTTTAGAGGTGCTAATTCTTGCAATCAGACAAAAAGACTCTTTCTTTTCCAATTGTGAACTTATAAATAAAATTAGCTTGTCCATCTAAGCCACTGGCTAAAGTACTAGGGGAGGGGCCAAAGGGGTACAGGAAATGGAAGAGTAGGGAAAGAGGAGGGCCCACACTCGGGTTGGTAACTAGTTGGAGCCTCTGCTTTTTAAACTTTGAACTCTGAAACCATAAATGGCAGAGTTCAGTCACTGACAGCACAAGTTTCATTAGTCAATTCAAAGGTTGAGTGGTTTCAAAAGCCCTGGTCTCAGGAGATTAGCTTTCATATTGGGGCAGTGGTTCACTTTAAACACATTTTTTTAATTTTTTTTTTTTTTTGAAGAAAAGAAATATTACGAATTAACTGATACCCAAAATGCTGTCTTGAATCATGAAATCAAAGTTCTTGATATCATCTAGACCTGCATCTAGAGCTACATTGTAAAATCTTTTTAGGCATGTATTAGGTTTATGTGAGATTTTTCTTTAAATGTAAACTTCATACACACTGTCAGTTTTTGTCTTAATAAAACTATAGATTTATAATCCCTGATTTCTGTCTTGATTAAGTCTTACCACAAACCTTTCTTGCCTTTTTATCAGCCTGTTGGAGATGGCCTCCACACTTGGATGGTTTTATTTCTTGAACACTATACTGAAAATCTGATGTCTGGGCTTTAATTTTGTAACTACTTATTGAGCTGCAGAGATTGTAAAAATTGTCATTTTTTATCATTATTGAAAGTTTATTTATTAAGCATTCTGACCAGATAACATTTAAAAACTATGATATATTTGGAAACATGGATTTTATGAGGTAGGTTTAGGTCTGGCTCTGGTATGTAATAGATTATGTGACGTTTTCTAAAAATCACCTCCAAAATTTTCAGGAAGCAGCACTGTGTTTGAGCATTGAATTGAATTATCATTTGTTTCTTACTGTCATTTTCTGCCTATAATTTTACAGCCAAAAAGGGACTGGACTCTTGTCATTTTTAAAAAAGGAAATTTCTCAGTGGTAGAATACCATACCTAGCATGTGTGAGGTCCTGGGTTGGATCCCCAGCACTGGGTTGGGTAGAGTAGGGTTTTCATTGAGATCAGATCAATGTAACAGTTGAGCTTTGCTCACGGGTACTAAGCATTGGTTTCAAATAAACTGATGTGTAGGTACTTTTTTTTTTCAAACGGCCTCCTAAGGGAAGTTTTGGGGGAGATGTAAGTTAAGTTTTTGAAACTGGAGAGCCTTTCTGTTCAGATGCCCGAGTGTGTCCTTGTAGGTGACAGCACAGCAATCAGTGGCTGCTGAGAGTTTTGGTAAGATGGGTAGAGGCATTCTGGGTATGGATGTACGAGTGTGTTTTGCTGGGCTAGGCAACTGAACCCAGGGGTATTCTGCCACCGAGCTATATCCCATCACTTTTTTGAGACAAGGTTGCACTGAGTTGTCCTTCAAACTTATGATCCTCCAGCCTCTGGATCTGTACTGTACCATCAGATGTACTGAAGAGAGACTGCAGCCTTGATACATATCCAATGGATTGCTATTCAATTTTAGCCATTTGGACTCAACTTTACCATCATTTCTGGCATTTCTGACCTGTTTTTAAAACCATATCATTCTTCAGGAAAAACATTAAAATTGATGTGCATGCAGGGAATGCTGAGGTAAAGATGAATAATTCTTATTAAGTGATAGTTGTGGCCAAAATGCAGAAACGTTAGAAATAAATATAAAAAGACAATTTAAAAGAATTTTATTTTGAAACAGGGTCTTTATAAATTGCTAAGGCTGGGCTTGAATTTACAATACTCCTGCCTCAGCCTACTGAGTAGCTGGGATCACAGGTGGTGCATCACCTTGCTCAGCTACAAGAGATCTTGTCTGCTCTAGAAAATGTTCTCCAGAAAACATTTCTTGGGGCAGTGTAGAAATGTGCATTGGCTGGCTTTCACGATATTGCACCATCATAGACCACTCTTGTCCAGGAGTTGAGGAGGTATATTATTACCTTAGTTGCTACTAGAAAAGCTTACTAGTAAAAATCTTGCTCCTGTAGTATCTTCAATTGAGCTTCTATTTAGTATTTTATTTTTTATTTTTTGAAAGAGAGAGGGAGAGAGAGAGAGAATTTTAATATTTTTTTAGTTCTCGGCGCACACAACATCTTTGTTTGTATGTGGTGCTGAGGATCGAACCCGGGCCGCAAGCATGCCAGGCGAGCGCGCTACCACTTGAGCCACATCCCCAGCCCAGTATTTTAAGTGGACAATACAACCACAGAAACACCCTTTTAAAACTGACAGGACTGAGAAATGATGGTTTTAGTTTCTTCATTTTAATTAATTGAAAGGTTTTGTTTGTTTGCTTTTGTGACATAGGGGCCTGAACTCAGGTGTACTACCATTGACCCACATCCCTAACCCTTTGAGGCAGGGTCTAACTAACCCAGACAGGTCTTGAACTTACCTCAGCCTCTCAAATTGCTGGAGTTACAGGCATGCATTACCACACCCAGTTTGAAAGTTTTGATCACCAATTTTAGAAGTAGCTGAATTTTTATTTTTAGAAAATATCTTATATTCCAGAACTTAATTTTGTAGTGGCCATATTCAGCTTCCTTTGATTCTTAATTTTGTGCTCTGTACGTCTTTATGGTCTATGGCATTGGGAATCTGTATTATAAAGCAGTTATTTCTCTTATAGTAAAATGGGAAATAAGATGAATTTGCTACTCCATAATATTTCAAAACTGGAACTCTGAAATCCACATCGCTTTTTTTTTTTTTTTTTAAAGAGTGAGTGAGAGAGGAGAGAGAGAGAGAGAGAATTTTTAATATTTATTTTTTAGTTCTCGGCGGACACAACATCTTTGTTGGTATGTGGTGCTGAGGATCGAACCCGGGCCGCACGCATGCCAGGCGAGCGCGCTACCGTTTGAGCCACATCCCCAGCCCCCACATCGCTCTTTCTGTGGTAGTTCCAGATCCTGAACTAGGGAGTAGGATTAATCTGATATGCAAATAGGATCTTCTCATGAGGATACTCACACTTGAAACTTAAACTGATGGGACTAAACAAAGGGTAGGCTCAGGGTTTTCCTCACTTAATAATGGGCTGTGTGCTGAAAAATATATCATTAGGTGATTTCATAGTTGTGTGGACATCATAGAGCATACTTACCCCACCTAGATGTAGTCTATGTGGTATAGACTGTTAGATATGCAGGCTGTCATCTATGTGATGCATGGCTGTACAAGTATCACTATTGAGCCAGTATTCAATCTGGTACAAGAGTCTTGGCTTTTGGCATAGGAAGCAATAATCAAACAGAGGCATTCTAGTGTTTTGGTGTGGGATTAAAGAGATTTGGCAATTATGTCAAGATTGACAGCTACCAGTCTCTCTGGATTACCTTGAATTGGCTCTGTGCAACATGGAAGTTTTCTCCAAAAGTTCCTGTTTACTTATCATCTCTTTCATGGATAACTTAATTGGTCTTGGTCTTGTAAGCTTCCCACTGAATAAACTGGTAACTGTTAAAAGCAAGTAAAATCTGATAACTATCTTGCTGGGATGAAAAGCACTATAGGCTCTACACTGTGGGGGCAAGCAGAGTGGTAATTAAGGCAGTATTTTTTTTTTTCTTTTTTTGCCCTGGAGATTGATCCTAGAGGCACTTGACCATTGAGCTGCATTCCCAGTCCTCCTTAATTTTTGAGACAAGGTCCAAGTTGCTGAGGCTGGCCTCAAACGTACAATCCTGCAGCCTCAGCCTCCTAAATCTCTGGGATTACAGGTGTGTACCACCATGCTCCGCCCCCAGATACATTTTAAAATCTTAGTTGACTTTGACCAAACCTGCCCTGTTTGCTGTTTACATAGCCTAAGGTCAAGCTGAGCAACTCAGGAGGCCTGGCTCTGGGACATTAGCCCCCCTTTTTTTTTTTCAGTTACTGCTTCAGCCCCTAAGGAGGATTGGGAGATTTAATCAACTGTTCAAACTTGTGTTTAAAACAAAAGTCAGAATGTTTAACTCCTTTCTTAGTTGAAATAATAAAGAGGGATTGAGTAAAGAGTGATGTGCAGCCTGTCTCAATTTTGCAATTTAAGTTAGGTTGAAAAAGAAGCAGCTTTAAGACCTGTGTTGGTATTTTTGTGTACTCAGCAAGGAAAACGAGGGCTTCTATCTAGCTGACTTTAAAAATAATCCTCTTTACAATGTTCGTCCTCCACTACAAAGTTGGAATCAGCGACAAGGATGACTGACTTCTGAATAAGAAAAGGTAGTGATTTTTGGTACACTGGCAAATGACAAGTCATAGTTTTCAATTCATTACCAGATGGATTAGTGATAGGAAAACAAGGCTCAGCCACTCCTGATGATTTAATCATGTACATTGGTTCTGCCACATTGTTTCTACCTGACTGGGAAAATGGGTTCTGGAAAGGCAGACAGTACTTGTATTTGTGTATAGGTAGCAAGAATTCTATTCTTGCTCTTCATCTGTTCACTAGGTAGTGCCTACATTCTTATTCAGTCTAAGGTTGTCCTTGGTCAAAGCCCATAGGATAAGATAGGAGTCTTGAAGGTGGTAGGTACTTTTTTTTTTTTTTTTTTTGGGGGGTACAGCACTTATTTCAGCAGTTTACCACAAGCCTGAACACAGCAAGCAAGGTCTGGTTTAGCTGAGGGTAATAAAATCATGGACAAGATCAGCCTGAGGAAAGCAGGGCTTCAATGTAACCAAGGTGTCTGACTATTACTGTTCAGTTTTTCCCAGGAAGAATGGGTGAGTCTGCCATGGAGGCATAACTCTAAGTCACTACTTTGCCCCTCAGTTCTGTAATTGTTTTCATAGATACTAAGTTGCCCCAGCTTCAATGGTGAGATCTAGGAAGGAGTAGTTTGAAACAGTGGGTCCACATCCATTTCTTGTAGAGTAAGACATGGAAAAATCATTTTGCTGACTGAAGTCAGCACAAGAACAGCTTATCTCCCTGCCTCGCAACAACTGCATTCTGTTTACCCTTCTAGGTTATGATTTGTATTTTTTTGAACTATCACCATGAATTGAGGTTTTATTTCAAATATTTTTAGTTCCCTTGCCCCTTTTAAGTTTTAGAATTCTGTTCTAGTACATTATTAAAGGAGTGATCTGAGCCAGGTTATACATCATACAAGGGAGTTCAAGATCATAGGCTTTACCTTTTTTTTTTTTTTCCCTGAGATAGGGTCTTACAAAGTTGTTCAGGCTGTCCTCACACCTGAGATCCTCCTGCCTCAGCCTGAATTGCTGCATTATAGGTGTGTGCCACCATGCCTGACTAGAGTAGGTGTTTGGAGGGATAACAGATTCTAGTCACCTTATTATAGCCTGACACATGCCTATAATCCCAGCAACTATATAGACTTGAGGGAAGAGGATCAGAAGTTCAAGATCAGCCTGTGCAACTTAGCAAGACCATGTCTCAAAAGATGGGCTTGTGATGTAATTCAGTGGTAAAGCACTCCTGGGTTCAATCCCCAGTACAGGGGGGTGGGTAGGGAGAGCAGTCACTAACTTGTGGACAGGTAAGGAACTAGGCCAGGTGACACTTCCTTTTTTCCTTTTAAAATATCTGATTGTCAAGCCTCCACAGCTCTCCACCCACTTCCCACTGGAGTTCTGCCTTAGCCACATAATGACCAATCCTCCCCCCATGAGGCCCATTTCCTTTACTCTGTTTGAATTCCAAGTGGGGAGAAACTGCACTTGAGAATGAATCATCCATTTTATTTTATTTTATTTTGTCATGTGCTCACAGCATCTCTTTTTCTCTCCTCTCCCTGGCAGGTCACAGAGATAAATTAAAAATAAAATCTACAAGGAAAATAATTTATAAAAAGCACTCCCAGGCTCTCGCCTTCTATCCCTACTGCTCAGTTAGAAACTCCCCCCCTCCCCACAGGGAGAGGAATCAGTGCTTTCCCCCAGAACTCACTCCTGCTAATCTGGGGCAGACAGAACTCCAGAGCCAAGCAGGGGTGGGGGCAGCAGTGGCAAACAGTTACAAATAGACATTGTGGTCCTGGAACCATCTGGCCACTTGGTGCTTCCCTTGCTGCCTCCCCCAGGCAGTGTTCCAGGAGCCCAGGCTAAGCTGGAGCTATGGAGAAGCTGCCTGTGGCCGAGAGCCTGGGGGAAGGTGCTCTCAGCCCCCCATTACATGCACTTCTCATTCTCCTAGAAAGAAACCCAAAAAAGAAAGCAGACAAGACCTCGGGACAGAGGAGAAAAAAAATCCCAAGTGTTCACACAGTTACACGGAGTTTTTATGGCAAAGAGAACATTTAGCAGCTTTGAATAGTGGGTCATCTCCTTACTCAACACAAGCATCCTAGACCCTATAAGTGGAACAGGGCACAAGCCCTAAAAAACAAAGCGCAAGAAATTCTAAGAGGACTAGTTTCTTGTTGCTGGGTTTTGTAGGGGTTTTATTTTTCCCCAGTAACAAGACCAGTTGTTGATAGGCCAAGGCCTGAGGGAAGAATCACTCCCCAGTTGTGCTGAACACTGCCTGAAGTGCTGGCTTCTCCCTCCACATCATCCCCCTGCCTCCAGAGCAGCTCCCAAGAGAGGAAGCTGTAGGCCCAGTCCCAAGCACTGCCAGCCAGCACAGTGCCCCACTCTCAAAGAGCTGCAGGGAGCCAGTGAGGGGCAGGAACACAAAGGCGGCAGCAGGGCAGCAGTGGGTAGAGTACAGCGTTTCCATGCAGGCTCTGATGGAGACACTAGGAGCCTCAGCTCAGGGCAACTGGAGCACAGAGGGAGATGGCAGTGGCAGGGCAGTGAGTGACATGCTTGGTGTTGGGGCTACTGCAACACATGACCCTCTTCTGTTCCCTCTGCCCTCTGGCCCTAAACCAACAAGCCAGTGTTGGTTCCCCAAGGCTCCCATTTGACCAAAACATTACAGATGAAATCCAAGAACCCCCTTCAGGGATACCAAAGAGCAAGGAACAGAAAGAGTTTAACAGAGCCCCTCCCCGATCCCACCCTGTGTCTGTGTACCCCTCTGGGGTGAAATAGGGTTTATCACACCAGTAACCTAGGCCCACCAGAGTTGCTCAAACCTGTTGCCTGGAATCCTGGCCAAAGCCCACCTTAACTTTCCCTGTGATTTTTCTGACCGCTTTGATTTTTTTGGGTTTCCTTCCTTCCATTCTAGGAATAAAACTTTCTACTCCTTTACTCTCCTGTCACTAGTCCCTTCCCTTTGTTAGCCTTCACACTAGCTGCTTCTCTACCTCCAGCAATGCTGGCACCACACATTCCTCACCACAAAGGGGTAAGGGTGGACCTCGACCACCCAGGTGGTTTGGCCACTTCCACCCACCCCACTGAGGGGAAGCAGAGCCAGACAGCGCCTGCGCCCGCCTCTTCCTGTACACTGACCCGCAGTCATCCCATCTGAGAAGATATATTGGATAAGAAGGCATTGAAGTCCCGCAGTAGGTCTAGGTCCAGGTCCAGGCCCAGCCCTTCTCAAATTTCAGTCTTGGTGAGCATCACCCCCTGCCTCCCCAGGCTCACTTTCTCCGGTCCTTTGGCTTCCTCTCCTGCCGCCGGGCCTGCTGGTCAGCCATTGTGCGGGGAATGAGGAGAACACTGCCATCCCCGGCATACTGCAGCGCATACTGACTGGGCGAGTAGGGCCGCCCGTTCTCATCCCGCAGCCGCCCAAACACTTCCTGGTATAAGCTCTGAACCTTCTGCTTCATCTGCCGCAGCGACCGGAGGAACTCCACCTTCTCCCGCAGCAGTCGGGCCTTATCACGCTGCAGGTCCTCCACGTCCCGTTCCAGGTTCAGGATGGTATCCAGTTTGCGCTTGCGGCAGTTCTGCGCTGCCATCTTGTTCTTGCCCCGACGACGGATGTCCCGGATGAGGCTCAGCTGGGCCTCACTCAGCTGGTACTTGGACAGTAGCTCATTGAACTCCTCCACAGGAAGGTTGATGATCTTGTCGTTGGTAAAAGGAATCTTCATGGCACGGGCTCTGTGCTCGTCCCGGCTCATCTGTTTGTCCAGGAAATCGGCCTGCTTCTCCTTGCTGCCTTTCTTTAGGGTGCTGGGTGGTGGCAGGTCAGCAGAGTCAAGGGCACTGGGAGCCATGTTGTAAGTGTGGTTATGGCCCACATGCTCCAAGTAGGGCAGGCAGGAGAGCTGGGACGGATCCTGGTAGCTCATGCGGCAGAACTTGGAATACTCAGGCTGGTAGCCCACTGCGCCCTCAGCCTCTTCCAGATCCAAGGTCTCAGAGTCAGAGCTGTAGCCAACAGCACCTTCCTCAGAAAAGGAGGAAGAGGCAGAGGAAGAGGCAGAAGAAGAGGAAGAGGAGGAGGAGGAGGAAGAGCTGCCTTCAGAGCTGCTCAGGGAGGAAGGGCTGTGGCTGGAATCCAAGGAAAGGCCTGAGTCAGAATCAAACTCCTCTTCGAGCTGGGAGGCCTGCACAGGATTGAAGCCCTCCTCAATGGCTAAGTCCATCAGGCTGATCTCATCCAGCATGGCTTCGTCTAACAGACCCCCCAGTGGGTCAGGCAGTTCTGGGCCGGCTGTATCATTGGCTGTGCCATTGAGCTGGGGTGGAAAGAAGAGCCCTGCCAGGTTGGTGGAGCTGAAAGTGGAGTTGAGGCTGGTGGAGTTGCTGGGGACCAGCGGGAGCAGTGTGGAGCTGTTGGCTACAGGCAGGTTCTCCACCTCAGGGCTGAAGAGGGAGAAGTCCTGGCTGCAGCCCCCCAGGGACGCCTGATGCAGGCTGACATTCTGATTGATGGGAGTGTTGGGGGCAAGGCTGTAGTTGGTGCTCAGTGGGTCCCCAGGAGGGGCATTGTACAGGATTTCACTTGCTGATGTGTTCACTTCCATGGCCTGGGAAGGAGAAGAACATACTGTTCACTAGGAGCAGACTCCTCCCTGAGGTCCACACCCTGCAGGACCCACCAAAAGCAGAGCTACCTAGGCGCAAGGACAAGAGGCTGGAAAGCAAAGTCCAGTGATGCTCCTGGTCATACTTGGACCACCAGGCGTGGCAGGAGTGGGTTCCTCTGTGTGGACTCCACCCCAGTGCAGGACTGACCTGTTCCTGGTCATGTGTAACCAGACCCCCCCCCCCACCTTGGAGACAAAGAATAACACTAGCACATTGAAAAGAACACCCAGACAGGAATCAGAAAGCCTAGCCGCACCATGGTGCTGTATGACCACGGGCTTATTACCTAACCTCTCTGAGCTTTAATTTCCTCACATTTAAAATAAAAAAAGGCTGACTGGATGATTTTAAGAGCAAGTGAGATGATGATGGATGTAAAGCACTATGTGAATGTCAGCTATTTTTTAAAATTTTTCTTATCAATGCATTATTGTTATATGTGATAGTTGGGGCTAATTTTGACATATTCATAAATGCTTATAATAGGCTCCATTTCAAACATCAGTCATCCTTAATGCTGAACAGAAGCACAGAGTCGAGGGACTATCTGCCTGAAGAAAAAGAAAGAAGGTACACCTAGGAGGCAGGATCTGCTTTGGAAGGCCCAGTCCTGGGTTTTAACCTAAAACCCACCTTGACTTTATCCCTCACAGTCCCAAGGACACACCTAGACAGGTTTCCCCTCAGTGTCCCCACTCTCTTAAGTATCAGCCAGAAAAATTGTTCCTCTCTCCCGAGAGATGCAGGTGACTGCGTACTAGGACACCCTACACAAAACCCTGTAGGTCTGTGCTGTTCGGACAGCCCTACCTGCATTTCCATGATGGACATGAGATCTTGCCACTGCTGTTCCAAATCAAATGGTGACTCTGTCCCCGTCAGGAGAGGAGACAAGAGGCTGTTTTGAAGAGCGGGGGGCTCGCTCTCACTAGGCACTGCTTCTGTTATGCTGGCGACGTTTGCTGGGAACTAGGGCAGAACACAGAGGCTTCAACTGGAGAAGGAAAGACCACCTTCTGCTTTCTTCCCAGCCACTACAACCTGGCTTCCTGTTTTCTTCCTTCCTTTGAATTCACCCACAGCAGCCAGGACAAGGCTAGAACCGAGAGCTGGCACTGCAGCCAGCCATGGAGCAACATGCCATATGCAGCCTGCCCTGCTTACTCGGTGGGCTTTCCCTGGTCCTGCTCACCTCAGCATTCTCCCCAAAGGGGCAGGTGGCCTCCAGCAGCCTAAGGCACTCTTCCAGGGACAGGGCCGTCTGGTCCTCCCCACCAGGCACCTGTGGCAACAGCAACTGTAAGTCTGGCTGACATGGGCCCTGGCTGCCTGGGCCTGACACTCTTCCCCAGCACAGCTGCAGGCCTGTAGTCTCCTTCCTATTTCCAGTTAATGGAACGCCCCAAGTCCCAAACTCCTAGGGACAACAGTAGGGTGGAAAAGTCCTGGTATAAGTAGAAAGGTTCATGATGCTCTGGCTCCTTTGCACTGCTGCCACAGCCTGGTACTCTGGCTCTGCTGCCATCCCCGCCCCCTTCTGCAGCCCAGCCACTGTGACTTATAGACCACAACCCAAAATAGACATTCATGTCCACCCCAAGGCACAACCTGCCTTCTTTAAGGGGAAGTTTCTGGAAGAACTTCAGCCTGGTGAATCTTGGGGATGTAGGGAGAAGTGAGGCCAGTGAGCCGAGGCAGTGGTACCTGTGCAGGGAAGCTCTCCCCCGTCTCTCCGTCCACTAGCAGGTCTCGGGCCAGAGCTTCCGCACCCTCGCCTGCCCAGGTGTCCGCCTGCTCGCCTCCATCTCGCAGCTCCTTATCCACATCCTGCTCCTTCTGGCGATGACTGTAGTCAAAAACCTCACGCCCAGCCCCCAGATCAATATCCTGCCGCCAAAGGATGTCAATCAGATCTATGTCCTGAAAGACAGACCACCATGACTTTAGCTCTCACATTCCAGGGGCCCCTCCCTGTCCTGTCCCTCAGAGGTCCCTCCTAGCATCACTCTAGTTAGTCCTGGGTGAGGGCCCTCCTAGCCCTATGCCTGTTTTTACCCCCTGGTTCCTCTGCATCAACAAGACTTCATTCATCTACTCCAGGCACTAGGGCACCCACCCCAAAAGAGAGTCAAAGCAAAAGCCGCTAGTGCTAGTATGACCATCACCGCACAGGTCTGCAGGCTTAAAGATATGAATCAGAGACACACCCAGGCTGAAGGGCAAGGCTACCTCACCCCTACTTTAAAAAGGAGGAGGAATCAGGAAACACCTCTCCTTTTGAGAATGGGAACCCTGAAAACATGGCTTGTAGAAGGCTGGCCATGGCAAGCAAGGGCATACTTGTGCAGAATTGCTTAGCAGGGGCCAGGCTTGCATCAGCCTGTGGTGCCACTGCATTTGCATAAAGGGGTGGGGTGGCTTAGAGAGGAAAATCCCTGCATTTCCAACCACCTGATGCAACCAATGACAACGACAAGCTGTCTCCAGCCCTTCCTCCAGTCTTTCCCCCTTCCCTGGCTGACAGCAGGAGTAAAGCTTGAACACCCACAACTCTTAAAAGCCCAGGCTCACCTCAGGATCCATCCCTGCCAGAATCCCCATCTCAGCTGATCCAAGCAAGCTGCCTCCATCCCAGGGGAGCCCCAAGCAGTCAGATGATTCCTATTGGGCACTCCACCCCGGCCTAGGCCAGCGCGGTGTCCCCTCACACCAGTGCTCTCACTGATTCCCTTTCATACCACACCCTAGGTCTCACTGGCTCCCCATCAGTCAACCCATTCAAGGACATAATTCCCATCACTGCTCAGTTCCCATCACCACCTTGGGCATCAAAATGCCTCCCTTCCCCTCTGTCCTGTGGCTCCTGAAGAGTTCCTGCATCAACTGCCACCCGCACTGCTACCAACACAGAACCCTGATAAGTAGAGCTATTTGCACTTCCTATACATGCTGCTCCCTCTGGCAAAAGTCTTCCTCACAAGGGAAGAAACCCTCAAGTGCTGCCTTCCATTCAGGATTAAAAAGCACACTTTCCAGAGAACAATATCCTTAGACACCTCCCTAGCCCTAAGCAGGGCACAGTACCCTTTCCCACCACAATCCTCCCGATCCTAAGACCTCCCACGTGGACCTCTCCCCTTCAGTCTCCCACCATACACCAACCTGAACAGAAGCCCTGGACCCAGGAGCAGAGGGGGGCTGGGCCACCCGGTGACCAGCCAGCAAAGAGTTAAGGGGCTGGCTGCCTTTGGCATGGCCCCCACCACCGTGAGAGCTGCGGTCCAGGCGGGTCATGGTCTGCGAGAGGAGCCCCAGGGCAGCCGGTGCCGGGAAGCCGGACAGGGGGCTGCAAGGAGCTCTTGGCTTGCAGGGAGCACACCAGGCTGGAAGGGTGGCCCCTTGCTAGCTCCGAGGGGCCTGAGGAGGGTGCCCCGCCCGTGCTGCTGCCTGGGCGGCCCAGCCCAGCCCCCTTCCTCCATCCTGGAGCAGCCCCCTCCCACCTCACAACCCCAGTTCCACTCAGGCGCCCGGCAGCCCCCACCCTGAGCTCACCGCAGAGGCTGCAGTGAGTCGGGACTCCCACCCCATGCTCCGTGCTCACGCTGCAGAGGAAAGCGAGCTCCCTCCTGGGCCTAACCTCCCGCTCCTCCCTCTCTCCCCCTCCCACGCCCCCCAAACTTGTTACCTAGGCTGCAGCAAGGAACCAATCCCCTCCCCCTCCCACCCCGCAGGTCACTGCTGAGGCTGCAGAGAACCAATCCCCTCCCCCAGGTCAGCAGCTGGGCTGCGGAAAGAGCCAATCCCCTCCCACTGTCGTTACCTAGGCTGCGCCAGGAGCCAATCTCCTCCCCCAAGTCTCCGCTGGAGATGCAGAAGGAGCCAATCCCCTCCCACCGCCTGTTACCTAGCTGCAGACGGGAGCCAATCTCTGCACCAGGGCAGCTGGAGAAGCTGCCGCAAGGAACCAGCCCATCCCTGGGCCGCCTCCGTCTCCTTGAGGAGATGCACCCAGGGGCGGGCAGCCCCACCCAACCCAGTCAGTCAGCTGGGGTGGCGCAGTGGGAGCGCCCTGAGGGAAGGGGTGCCACTCTCCTCCCTCCTGTCGCATTTTGCTCCTCCAGCCCACTGTGGACTGGGCAGACACTCCTCCTTGCAGCTTCGCTGGGGAATCTAAATTCTTTGCTGAGAAGTCAAGAGTTTTTCCCTTTCTTAGGAAGGCTGGGGCCGGCCCTTAAGGCCAGGGATCATAAACTAAGCTGGGCAGGAACCCAGGGCACCCAAGCCAATTAAAAAAAAAAAAAAAAAAAGGCCAGCAGCTTTGTCACCCTAAAACAGGCCAGAATGGAGGAAAAGGAAAGCCATTTTCACACACGTGCATCGATGTCACAGTGCTGGATGGGCCTAGCCCTAAGCAGGAGGAGGGGAGACACAATCCTGAAAACACATCACTTAGGGAGACAGGTGCTGGGCAATGCCCCAGTCACAAATATGCCTCCCACCCCCCCTTTCATCCTAACTTTTTAAAACTGCATTTTCTGCCTGTACCCTGACCTTGTTTCTCCAAACAAGGAGGGGGAAAGGCCCCTGGCTAAATCAGGATCACACTTTAGACTCCATGGATTGGTTTCTAAGGGAGAAATTTAGCTTCCTCCTCACTGCTGCTGCTCCCCTGGAGGCTAAGGTCATATCAGAGAGACACTGTGTTCTCCCTGGTCACAGCCTGCTCCTAGCCTGGAAAGAGCGGTAAACAGGCCACCCCCTGCTCTGGGCAGAGTGCCAACCTTAAGGGGAATCCTATCCCTGACAAGGGCCTAGGCTATAGCTGTCCATCGAATAGGCCTGGCAGCAGGGGAGCACTACCACCCCAGGGATAATACCGGCTCCAGCAGTGCCTGTCACATGCTCAGGACCTGGGTATTTTTATCCCTGAGTTGCTGAGGAAATATTGTTCTAGACACATCATAATCCTCCCTCCCCCCCCTCCCAGATTGGGCTCCTAAGGCTGACCCACTCCTCCTCTCGAAGGGAAGGGTGAAGGCCTAGGGTCAGGGAAAGTATGACCTTTACTGAGGGCCAAGAAAACAAGAAAGGGGGGAATCAAAGTTCCATCCCATTCCCTCTAGTACTGAACAGCCCAATGACATCCCAGATATCCCACATCTCATTCCAGAAGAGCTCCCCACAACCAGAATGGAACTACTTCTGTATGATTCCCAAAAACAGCCCATTCCACAGATCAGAAGCTGGGAATATGCTTCCTCAGAACACTGGGCCAAGACCAGAGTCCACTTGAAGGACAGTGAAAGGGGAAGCAGAAAAGAGGTAAGGTTCCAACCGTCACTGCAAGGATCTAAAATCAAGAGGTCCAGAAAGACAAGAAATGCTCCTAGCTCCTATGATCAGATGGATAATCCTTGCCTGTCTCACAGCAGATCCAACAGATGCCAGATGAGCAGAAGGCAAAGCTTCCCAGTCAGCACCAATAATAGTTGGGAGGTAGATAAAACTGTGGTTTAGGGGCTGGTCTGTACTGTTCAGGATGTTCGGCAACATCCTTGACCTCTACCCACTAGAGGCCAGTAGCACCCATCCCAAGCTGTAAGGACTGAAACTGTCTCCAGATATTGTCACCTGTCCCCTAAGGGCAGGAAGAGAGGCAAAAATCACCCCCAGATGAAGATCATAGGCCTAAAACAAGTCACATTTTTTGCCAGTCACTAACAGAGAACTGAGGTCAGGAACAGGCTCCAACGCGAGGGAGGCAAAACATGGCCTGACCTGGTAAACAGAGGGAGTCCAGCTCTGCAGCACCTGTACACCTTTTCACATCCTTCCATGTCCCACCCCAGAAAAAAAAAAAAAAAAAGAGCCTAATGGAAAATGCAGTGGGCCTTTTCTCAAGCTCCTTAAGGTCGAGGGGCAAGTCAATTCATTTTTATCATTTAGGTGAGGCAGTGGCAACAGTAGCCACCTGCATCATTAAAGGCCCAGAAATGCATCCCTTTCTGTTCAGAACAGTGTGTTAGACATGTGACAGGAGCTGAGGATTGCCTCTAACAGCTGGAGACAGTTGACTTGGGCAGAACAGTTTCTCTTCTAGGTTCCAGCCTTTTCTGCTCTACTCCCTGCAATGGGTTTTTAGCAAAGAATTGGAGCCTTGGCCTTTCCTGGCCAAGAATAACTACTAAGTCTACCCTTTGGCTCAGGCCCAGGAGAGCTGAGTTATCAGGACTGTACAACAAGAGGCCTGACCACAAAGGAAAACTTTAGGGTACATGTATTTTGATGTTGGGGGAGGTACAAGGCAAGAGGCCACAATATGTGTCTTAGCAACAGATACACACTTCATCACAGCCCATCACAACATGACCCTCCCCCACCTCATACTTTCAGTAGTCATGTTGAAATCCAAGCAGTAAACACACTGGCATGTTCTAGGAACCTCCCACTGACCTGACAGTACATTTAGAGGTGGGTCAATGGTTCCACACAGGGAAATGCTCCCAGCCCCTAATCCTAAAGTCAGACAATTCATCCCATTTCTAGCCAAGTACAGTGCCTGAGACCCCCTAGAACCTGTCTGGTTCTTTATAGGTCTTAATGCTGTGACCACAGTCCTTCAGGACCAACCCACTCCTCCCAAACCCCCAGGTCCCACCCACCCACCACAGGGCCACTAACCTCTTTGGTTAAGTCTCCACTGACTGGAGGGGCTACAGCCCCCAAATCCTCCAAATCTTCACTGAATCCCTGCTCCGTTTCGCTTTCTCGCACCCCGTTGTCTGGGCCTGTCACATCTTGGAGGCCACTGGAACTCTCGAGGGCGAGGCCTGAGCTGGGCTGGGTGCCAGAGACAGACCCCTCCGGGTCCCGGTGAACCAGCCAGGCATTTACCTCAGTGGTTGGCACCTGGAACCTGTCCAGGGCCCTCACCTGACTGAGGAGCCGCCGGGCAGTGAAGTAATTGTCCAGGTCTATGCTCTTGGGGTGGATACCATAGCCATCCAAGGTATTCCTCAGGTTGTGGAACTGGGTCTGAGTATAGGCAGAACTGGGCCCCAGGATGATCTCCCGGAGCGGGGGGAGCTGTGAGGTCAGGTAAGTATCCACGTCCACCCGCACCCCAATCAGACTCAGAAGAATGGTGAACTGGAGAAGTCCTTCCGTTAAGTATTTCTTCAGAGAAAGCATTGCTGAAGGACCAGAATGTTTATGCTTTTTGGTTTTTAAATCTTCCAAAAGACAAATCAAGGCCACTGCTCTGCCGCTCCAGCCAGCAGGTTACCCTCCTCAGTGCAAAACCCTGTACCCCACCCTGGCAGAACACAGGGGTTGAGCTCCCTGATGGCCCCAGAGGAAAGCACACCCTGTGGAGCCAAGGCCACACTCCAGACCACATTCACTTTTCCCTTCTTGACACCTCACCTCTGAAAGTACAACTGTTCCTAACCCAGTCCAGGCCCTGAGGGCCCACGTGACTTACTGTCTCCACAGTCCACATACAGTCACTTCCTCACTCACATTAGTTGTCCTCTCTGTAGATTCCACTGCAGGCTGTTCTCAGGAACAGCTGATGGATTTTTTTTTTTTTTCCTTCTCCCTCCTAAGGTTTATTTTCTTTGGCTGGAGCTAGAGGCCTTTTGTCTTGGGTCAGAGTGTCCCGCCTCCTCCACACTTACCAGGGGGGTTTCCAGAGAAACCTGAAATAGGAATCACAAGAGCAACAAGATAAGATTCCATACTTCTCACATGATGTTCATGACAGAAGACAGGAAACATTAAAAGGCCAATTTTACAGGGTTAAACAAAAAACACAAAACACCCAACCACTTAAACTCTCAGGAAAAAAAACAAAGCAACCTGTTATAGACAGAATAATTTTAAGAGGAAAGTCCTGATGAGAAAAGATCTCTTACTGCACATTAAATCTGTAATTTAAAAGTAGCTTGCTTTGGATAAGCAGACAATGCCCAGAGCATCCAAACTACCTTAAACTTTGTCTGATTTACCAACCCTTCCCCCCCTCATACAGGCACAACATTACCCTGCTTCTATTTTTAGCATGAGAAGACCATTTCCTATCTTAAAGGAAAGTTGGTTTCCCATTTCTCAGGAGAAAACTGCTTAGGATCCTCCCTTCCAGTTCTGAAGGGGAGGGAGAGATTATTAATGGGTGAGAGTGTGTAAAAACACGAGGACAATGTTCAGTTCACCATTCCACACAATAGAGTAATGCCTTTTGTTTTCCCAACTTTGAAATATGATTTCTATTTCCTAGCATCTTCACATTGAGAGAGAGAAAGAGAAGAAAAAGAGAAGGAGAGAGGGAGGAGAGGGTGAGGGCTGGAGTTGTAGCTCAGTGGTAGAGCACTTGCCTACAATGTGTGAGGCCCTGGGTTCCCAGCACCACATAAAACTGAATAAACAAAGCATTGTGTCCAAATACAACTAAAAATAAATAATAAAAATAAAATAAAAGAGAGAGAGAGAGAGACAAAATGTGTGTGTGGGGAGGGGGACGATGGGGGCATTCATAGGATTGTTCCATCTACAATTTGAAAAGGCAGGTCTTATCTTCATTCATATGACCTTCTGAGCCAAAGCAGAAGGATAAGGCCAAGTTCTCAACCCACACTGCCAACTGTGAGAGGGCAAATGTGCCTTTCAGTTTCTGGCTTCTACTTTTGAGCTTCCATTAATCACATAAACCAAGACATATCCCTCTCCTCTCCTCCACCAACCTCATTCTAAACTGGAAACAAGATCTACACATACACATACGCCCACGCAATCGCACACCCTCATTTGGTCCGAGTAAACACAAATGCAACCCTGAATTCCTGCTTACGCTCCCCTCCCGTTCCCATGCAACTTGTTACAAAACCTAAAGAACTAATTAAGTTCGAGAAACCAGACAAAGTTCTCTCCTTAAAGACCAAGTTAAGGCCAAAAGGCCGTGGCTTGAGTCCGATCCCACCCTGCCCCGAATACCCGAGTCCGGCTGGGACCAAGTCGCCATGCCTACTCTCGGCGCCGCGGCTTCTAGCCTTCTGGGGCAGCAAGCGAACAAGTGCTACCTTTCTGGCCTTGACTCACCCTTAAAGGCAAACCTCACCCCGCCCTCCGGTCCCGTGGCCCCACCCCACTCGCAAGCCGGCCTCACACCACGCCTTCTCTTGCCCTCAGCCCTCCCCAGTCCATCCCACCCAGGAGCTAGCTTTCTCCTCGGCCCCGCGGCTCTTCCCTACCAGGCCCAGGGTCCGACCCCGATTGAAACCCGCTGGGTCGCCGGGCTCCGGTCTCCAGCCCCTCAACCACATCCCGCCGCCCCTCACCCTATAAGCCTCACAACCCCGCAGCGCGCGCCCCGCCCCTCAGGAAAAGAAAAGTGCCGGTACCCGCTGCTGAGCTTGGCGTCCACCGCTACTGCCACAGCAGGCTTTCAGCCCAAGTCCCGGCCTCGTCGCCGCCGTCGCCGCCGTCGCCGCCGCCGCCACCGCCGGCCGGCCTAGCGCTCCCTGCCTCCGCTTCCCTCCCCGCCCCCTCCTTCCACTGCACTCGGAAACCCGCCCGTCGCGGCACCAAAACTCTTCCTCCAATCAGTGAGCCGAAACTACGGCCTTTGCCGGATGTTGCTCTGATTGACAGCAAAGAAAGCCCAATAGTTGAACATACCTCCGTCTCCCCTGGCCCGAATCCCCAAAACTGACATGACCCACAGTCCAATGGGTGTCCATGCCCGCCCCATGGCGTGAGCCCACCAATGAGTGGGGAGAAGGCCCCAGGGTCTGGCATCGTGCGTTTGAGGGGGGGTGTATTACAGGTTGATGCTTTTTAGCACATTTTGTAGCTAGGGAAAAGGGCTCAGGACAGAGGATAGGAGGGGTATCGCCCAGGAGCGCGGAATTGCACCTCTGATGGTTCCCATAATGACTTGCAAAAGTCGGTTGAGAACGGGGTGGGGGAATTGAGGCGGGGCTCAGGGCATGTGGTTTTTGTGGTGGCGACGCTCTTGCCGCCATCTTGGTTGCTGGCAACGGAAACTCTTGTCCTGGCTTCCTTCCCCCCGCCCCGCGCTGCACTTGAAGGCAAGGACGGTAGGGCCTCGTGGCCCAGGCAAGGGTCAGTTCATGGGAACAGTCCTGCAGGCAGTTTGTCACAACAATCTGAATGTTAGCGATGTGAGAGATTAGGACTAATAGCAATTATTTTGCCATCAATGGAACACACAAAGAGCCCTAACTTCCCCCCACAGAACTTAGACTTGGCTTTTTTTTTTTGGGGGGGGGGAACCAGGGTTTGAACCCAGAGCGTGTAACCGCTGAACCATATCCCGACCTATCTCTCTCTCTCTCTCTCTCTCTCTCTCTCGACAGGTTCTCACTAAGTTTCTTTTGGACTCGCTAAATTGCTGAGGCTGGCCACGAACTTCTGAACCTCCTACCTCACCACAACCTCTCCAATTTCAGGCATGCGCCACCACGCCTGGCCAGACTTGCCTCTTAAAGAAGAGGCTTATCTTCCAGAGTTATTCCCATCTAGCCCTGTTACTCCATTTGTTGGTGATTTAAGTAATGCTGAGTACCCCCAGCATTACTTCAGGAGCTTGTTAGACATGCAAATTCTGAGTCCTCCTGAGATTCCCATTTGTAACCCCCCAATCTTGGGATGGAGGCCTGGTAACCTTCCATTCTGAATAATCCTAATGCAGCTGTCCACAGACCACATTTAGGAAATCACTGAGCTGGAATATATGCTGTATTCCTACCAACTGTGGGACAAAGAGGTGTCAATTCAAGTTCTTGTCTCCTTGGGAGTATCCATAATCAAGCTAGTACGTGACTTTATTTTCCTTATACATTACGAACAAGGCCAACTGATAACTCAGGTAATCAAATCCATAGTGCTTAGAGAGGAGACTTAATTTGGGGTGATTCACAGATTACAAAGAACTTTCACCATATATAAATATTCAACATGCATTCATTGAATCCTTAATAAAACTACTAAGCTAATTTTATGTATTTTAGGAACTGAAACAGTACTGATTTTAGTGTCTTAATGAAGCCAGATTTAAAATTAGGTAGTCAGTGTAGTTAGGTAAATCGGGTCTAATATCGAGTGAAATCTAAAATGGAGGCCATGTTGAGAATGAATTTCCGGAAAAGCTGAGCAACTCTTGGAATGTTAATGAAGCCCAGGAAACAGCCCCCAACAGATTTGGAGATAGCCCATCCCAAAGAAATGTTAATGAACAGCAAACTTGACTGGGAAATGCCCAGATTACTTCTTTGGCCCACCTGTGTCCTGACCCTTACCACCTACATTCCATCACCAAAAACTATAAAAAGGGGAACACATTCGCCCTTCAACTGATTGGGTCCCCTTCTTCCTCCGGGAGAAGTCTTTTCTGCTGTCCTTTAATAAATTTCTAATTTTCCACTCTGACCTTGCCTCGGCGTGCTTCTCTGGTGTTATTCTTCAACATTGGGGAAGCAAGGACCAGTCAACCGCGGTAACGTTAACAAATAGTAGATATAAGCTCCATGAGGATTAGAATTTTGTGTATTAATTATTGTGTCTTCAAAACAGTATTGGGGTTGGAGTGTAACTCAGTGGTAGTGTACTTGCCTAGCAGATGCAAGGCCCTGGTTTCTACCCCTAACACAACACACACAAAAAATTGTGCATGACATGTTGTCACATGCCTATAAGGCTCTAGAGGCTGATGCAGGAGGATCACAAAATCAAGACATTCCTAGGCAACTTACAGAGACCCTGTCTCAAAATAAATAGGGCTGGGATGTAGCTTAGTGGTAGAGCTTCCATGGGCTCAGTCCCCAGTAATACAAAGCAGAACAGTGCATGGAACTTAGTAGACCCTAAATACTAAATAATTGAAGGTGGGGCTGAGGGTGTAACTCAGTGGTGGTGTGCTTGACTAGTATGCATGAGGCCCTGTATCTTTTTTTTTTTTTTTCATTGTTGATAGACCTTTATTTTGTTTATTTATATGCAGTGCTGAGAATGGAACCCAGTGCCTCACATATGCCAGGCAAGTGCGCTAGGGCTCAGCCCCAGCCCCAGCCCCAGTCCCAGAGGGGCTTTTGATCCCCACTACTTTGTAAACAAAATAATAATAATTGAAGGGGGAGTCAAGCAAGCAGACTTGTGATTAGAAGTTCCTGCTAAAAATAAAAACAAAAGCTGGGAATGCAGCACAACAGAAGAACTCCTCACTCAAGGCTCTAAAGTCAATCCCCAGCAAAACCCCAATCAGTGCACACACACAAAAAGGAAAAGTTCCAAGCAGAAATGAACCACATCATGGCATGTCACCAAGAAAATAAATGGCTGTCAGCTAAATTAGTGAGACCATGAAGTTAAACACTGCTACTAGTTAAGAAAGGAAGAGAAGCCAGCAGGAGACTGACCAAAGGATGAGGTTTGCTTGAGCTCAGGAATTGAAGACCAGCCCAAATAAAAATTAAAAAAAATAAATTAATAAATAAAAAGGTTGGGGGCTAGAAACATAGAGTGTTTGGCTAGCAGATGTGAGGCCCTGGGATCCATCCCCAATACTGAAGGAAGAAAAGGAGGAGAAATTTAAGTGTGATCATTAACTACAAAATATAATCAAGCCAGGTAGTGGCATATGCCTGTAATCCCAGCTCAGGAAGCTGAGGCAAGATGATCTCAAGTTCAAGGAGAGCCTCAGCAACTTGATGAGACCCTGTCTCAAAATGAGGAGCAATAATAATAAAGGGCTAGGATGTGGCTTACTCGTTAAGCTCCCCCGTGTTCAATCCCCAGTACCAAAAATATAATAATAATAGTCAAGACTGTTGGGAAAGAAATGTTTAAAACCATAGAACTAGAAGATATCAAGACCCAACTAAAGTTACAGGATTAAATAAGACTATTTTGAGAAGATGAAAAGAAATCATAAAAATTCTGGTATGTTCTAAATTTAATTATAAAGGCTGAAAGGTGAATGAAGAAAGAGATAAGGAAGGTTAATAAATTAACAGGTGCTGGTGAAACAACCAAAAATGTTATTTATGTAGAAACCTTGACTTGAATCCCATCTGAGACAATCACTAGGACCATTTCCCTCCTCTCACTCCTTGCTTATTTATAAAATGTTCAGGACTGTTAACCCCACTGAATTCAGAAGCAACAATTACTTCTCCTTATGGACTGCCCTCCTACCCTAAAATTTTCCCTGCTTCTCCTTATCCTACCCTCTTATCTATAGCCAGTGTACAGGTTACAAACGCTTACCTTCTTTAAAATTTAAAAGTGTTTTTAAGCTGAGCAGTGGCAAATCACTTCTGTAACCCTAGTTACCTGGGAGGCTGAGGCAGGAGGATCACTAGTTCCAGGCCAACCTGAGCAATTTAGCAAGATCTTGTCTCTAAATAAACAAATAAGGCTGGGGAATCTAGCTCTACTGAACCCTTAGATTAAATCCCCAGCACTAATCATCATCATCATCATCTCATAGCTCTGCTTGGGCACACATTTTTCCAACTGCTACTTAGCCTTGCTACAGGTAGTTTTCAAAAACTTGTCTTAGGATGGTCCTTTATCTGACCACCATTTGTAACAGCTTAATAAACACTTTTATTTCAGAGATCCATTGGTCTTAAGAGTTTTGGTTTAATAAAGAAGGAACAAAAGCAATAGTTTTAAAGGAGAGTATATTGACTAGTAGTTTTCTTTTCTTTTTTTTTCTTTTTTTTTTTTTTTGTGTGTGTGGTACTAGAAACCTGGATGGTCTACCACTGAGCTACATTCATCTCCAGCCCTTTTTATTTATTTTTTATTTTACATATCTATATCTATCTATCTATATATAGGTATATAAATAGATATAGATATATACATGCATGCATATATATTTTTATTTTTTGGTACTGGGGATTGAAACCTGGGGCACTGTATCATGGAGGTACATCCCCAGTCCTTTTCTTTTCTTTTTTTTTTTTTAAAGAGAGAGAGAGAGAGAGAGAGAGAGAGAGAGGAGAGAAAATATTTTATTTTTAATTTGCTGCGGATACAACATCTTTGTTTGTATGTGGTGCTGAGGATCGAACCTGTGCCGCACGCATGCCAGGAGAACGCTCTACCACTTGAGCCACATCCCCAACCCCCCAGTCCTTTTCTTTTTTTTTGAGACAGGTCTCATTAAGTTTCTGAGACTAGCCTCAAACTTCTGATCCTCTTCCTTCAGCCTCTGGCGTCACTAGGATCATGAACATGCACCATGGTGCCCAACTTTTCTTTCTTTCTTTCTTTCTTTTATTTTTAAATTTTGAGACAGGCTAACCTCAAACTTGCAATTCTTCCTCAGCCTCCTCAGTTGCTAGGATTACAGGCATGTGCCAGCAAATGATTTTTTTTAAATTTATTTTTTAGTTGTAGATGGACATATATATATATAGTTTTTTTTAAATATTTATTTATTTTTTTAGTTTTTGGCAGACACAACATCTTTGTTTGTATGTGGTGCTGAGGATCGAACCCGGGCTG